TGCAGCAGAGTCGAAAGAAAAAAAGTTGTGATCGCTTCCAGATGAGTTGATTATCTAAACTTAACATTCCTCCTTGCTCTTAGAATTTCTACTTTTGGCCTTCCACACAATGCAAAATGAAAACAATAGGAAACAGCTTCTGCCCCAGGGTCATTCAAGATGAGAGGAGACCCAATGCTATAGATAACATCCTTGTGGAAACACTTTGCAAACTTTATTTGCTCAGATTCAAAAATAGCCATTCAACAACACAATCAAATTAGACCACACCAGCAAAATGCAATTAGAGCTTGGTTGTATATACCTATATACACATACACATATATAAGGGAAAAAATGTAAACAGATTTTGAAGAACCAAATGCAAAATTATCCAGTTATGGTCAGTCCCAAATCTCTACATTTCTTACACCAAGCCCATGAAGATCTTTTCTTAGAGTTGCATGAGGAAAGTAATGTTCATTAAATGCTAACCCAGCTTTTGTACATGGTGAGGGGCAATGGGATAAAATGGAATGAGAACTAAAGTCAGTGCCTAGGTCTGAGTTCTGCCGAGCTCTGCCATTTACCGGGTCTATAACCTTAGGTAAAACACTTTACCTTCTCTAAAGTTCAGGTTTCCATCTGTAAAATGGGACGTTCACACTGCATGCTTCCTAGGACTGCTAGGTGGTTGGCCTTTGTCTAGTGCTACACAAACTGAGCTGGTGTTATTACTGTTTTCAGCTCAATAAGCAGTGAGTCAATGCTCTGTGGGCAGCACTGGGCTAGGCTCTGGGGAAGTGAATTAATGAATGAAGCCTTTATTAAGCACTAATGTGCAAAGCACTGGAGATGCAGATAGAAAATTGAAACAGACTGTACTCTCAAGGAGCTCACATTCTAATGGGGGAAAGAACACTTAAAGGTTTCAGCTGATGAAAAGTCCATGGAACTTAAGATGAATCTTCCTTAATGTCATTTACACTGATAAAACCATATTCATTTCCCATACTGAACCATTTCACAAAATTGAGCTAAGGTATAGTCTCTCCATAGTAGAGTTTACATGCAGTAGGAGGATATGATATACAGAAATAATAACCCAGAATACATAGTTAAGTACATCAGAGTGGCATAACAATACAGAATACATTAAATGCATCAGAGAGGTTCAAAATATAGAACATAAGATAAATGCATTAGAGAAGTATAAGAAAAAGGGCTATGTAAGGTTGGGGGGGGGAGTTGTTACTGGTCAGTTATTAAGTGATGGAGTACCAAAAAAAGTAAAAGGTAGTCCTTGCCCTCAAGGAGCTTACAATCTAATGGAGGAGACCACATACAATGCGTTAACAAACTACATATAGGATAAATAAGAAAAAATTAATAAGGGGAAGGCACTGGAATTAAGAAAGACTGGAAAAGGCTTCTTCTAGGTGGGATTTTAGCTGGGGCTAGAAGGAAGCCAGGAGGCATCTCCTAAAGTAGGAGAGTGGGAGGATCAGGAAAAACTTTTGGAGGTCTTTAAAGTCACTTCTCTGAATAAAGACATTTGTGCAATAAGGCTAGCCATATGAACGACAACTAGAAAGATCCTTAGAGGTCATCTGATTGAAAATTCCCCAACCCCAAACTGAGGCCCAGAGAGGTTAAGTGGTGGGTCCAAAAACACAAAGAGAATAATTAGCAGGGGCAGGGGCAGCCCCAGAGCTGGTGCCCTTTCCAACATACCAAGTTTCCTTTCCATTTTGATTAAGTTCTCTGTGATCCTTGCAATGCCAAAGTCATTCACCTAAATGAGTTCCAAATACATATTGTTCTGGGCCAAATTATACAGTGTCAACACAGAGTGTATATATTTATATATGTTGGCAGGGTAGGATACTTTTCGGGCACCATCACAATATTCCAACATCCTGTGCCCAGCTGAGTTTCTATCACTTTAAAGCCATAAATTCCTTATAATTTGTTTCCAGAAGGGTATGTTAGAGAGAACTGAACTCTCATAGCCATGAGGAGAAGAGAGCCTCTGAGGAGCTGAATTGATAATTAAATTTGAAGTGGAACAAGTGTGTACTTTTGCCAAAGGCCCTGCACTGATTCAATGACTGCATCCATCATAAGAAGGGAGAGGGAGGGAGAGAAAAGGGGACAAGAACAGACAACATGCTTTGGACAGCATCTTGCTTAGATGGTGGGTAATGTGACCAGACAGAAACACAAAATACTCAACGTTTGCTGAATTTGTCAGCATCACACTATTCTCTTGGCTAAATATTTATCAGAAGCTATTTCCCCATGGAGTTGATCAGTTTCCTAACTGGCTAACTAGTTACTGTGTATAAAAAGCCAAGGAGAAAGGGGTTTATCCAAATGACCACTGTTGACTGAATAATGAGATAGCATAGTTGTGCTGATTGTACCAAGCTAAACACCACCTTCCTCAGTAAGATTCAAGGTCATTGGGGGAAAAAAAGTGATCTATCGATCCACACTGAAAAAACAAAGTAGATGAAAGAAAACCTGCGTCACACAGGTGAATAGGCAATCCACTGAGCCAGTTCATAAAAGTATATATATATAAACAGACCAGTGTATAGAATAAGATTGGGCTTGACTGCAGTTAGGATACTGTGAAGGTCTTTTAAAGGTACTAGGCCAGTCTGCCACAAAAGCCCACCTTTAAGTTACATAGCTGCAAATCACAGTACCCTATGATCTCAAAAACCCAAACTGTAGGTCACCCAAAGGCCAACGATGACAGCATTAGAGAAGAGAATACTGGAATGGGCAAATCTTCTATACCAAATTTATAGGACCGTAGAATTGGGAGGGACCTCAGACATCACCTAGCCACATGTGACCCTCTAGGTGCTTGGGTGCAGCCTTCTGACTGGTCCAACTTTGGATTCAGTCAAAGGGCCACACCTGAGGGGTTACTACAGGGCTATATGTGGCCTCGAGGCCACAGGTTCCCCAACCCTTAAGTTCAATGCCCTCATTTTAGAGATGAGAAAACTGAGGCCTGGTGAGACTAAGTGATTTGTCCAGGGTCACATTGACGATAAGTAGTAGAACTGAGGTCAATGAGGTCAAGACTCACAGAGGATGAGAAGACTGGAGCACTTATGCACTGGCAGATAGAGTACTGACAGGGCATGGAGAGATACCATGAACAGACTACAGTGTCTCTTCCTTCCCGATTTTGCTGGCAGGGCTGGAGAAGAATTGCACAATTTGTATTTTCACTTTGTCATTTTTGGAAGTGAATCATTCTTCTCTATCCCTGGCTCATACTGGAATAGAAACAACTTTTAATTAGGGGACTGCCAATATTAACTTCCAATACTAATACCAAAGAAGCAAGTAGAAGAGGTCTAAACAGGTCCTCACATTCCCCTCTTACACAGAGTGCTTCGGTTTATTTTACAAAACCACGCACATTAAGTACCTACTGTGTAAAATGAACACAGGGCAAAGAAGACACTAAGATAAATAAGGCACAGTACCCACCATCAAGAAGGTTCTGCTCTGATGCTGGGAATATGATATATGTGCTGATAAATCACAATAACAGTATTTACGTAGTGCTTTAAAAGTTTATAAAACATCTTACAAATATTACCACATTTGATCCTGGGAGGCAGAGGTGAAGTGACTTGCCCAGGGTCAGACAGCTAGTAAGTATCTTGAAGCTAAATTTGAACCAGGTCTTCCTGACTCCAGATCCAGCACCATATCCGCTGTGCCGCCTAACTATGCCTTAAATATTACAAATGAGAATCCATGTAAACATCTCCTGTGTTATCAGATTGAAAGGAAGGTTCATTTCCAGTCTGAGATCAAGGAATCAGAGATGGTTTCGTAGGGGAGGTGGCATTCAAACTAGGCCATTAGGAAATGGGCAAAGCGTCAACAGGCAGTTATGGACAAGGGGCAATTCCAGGCATAGAAAACAGTATTAGGAAAGGTATGGAGGTAGGGAAACACAGGGTCAAACTGAATGGGAAGATAAAGCTGGAAATACAGAGAAGTGCCAAGTTGTGTAGAGCCTTGAATGCCAGTCACAGGAATTTGGTCTTTTGAGTGGGCTGTGGGAAAGTCTATTCTCTCCCAACAGCCCTGGCTGCTGCCACACCAGAATCAGGTAGCTGGCTGTATCAGAAAAGTAGAAAACTGAATCGTGCCAGGGCCAGTTCACCTAATTCATGGTCTAATACCCTCACTTGTTTGCGGGAGCCAAAACTCATATAGGCTTCAGTGGTGTTGTGTGTAGGAAAGGAGGGCTCTCTGAGATAACAAAGAGGTGTTCCTTATGCCCCTAGGCAGGAAGGAGAGAGGTGAGGCTTCATGCTATTAATCAATCATTTTAACAACTTATATAGCACAATACACGTATCGAGAATTCAGAAGCACTGATTATATTTGAATTTGCATTGTATTTTTCTTCGTGAGGCAACCTGGTGTAGTGACAAGAAAGTCAGCCTCAAAGCCGAGAAGACCTAAGGTCAAATCCTGCCTCTGACATACAGTGGCTGTGTGGCTCTGGACAAGTCCCTTAATCTCTAAGTGCTCTAGGGTAAAGAAGGTGCCAACCTGCCCTGGCAGTCTTCTCTAGACCAGTGAGATAACAGGTCCAGTTCTTGTTATCCATGTACATCGCAGCCCTGCCCAAGACCTTTTCTCTGCTTATCTTTTATTACATTGGATTGACTTGATATCTATCTCCCCACTTAGTGCCCTGCATAATGAGGAAGAAAAGGCAGAAGGGTAAGGAAAGCAAAGCGTCCAAAATCCAAATTCTGTTCACTATAACTAGCAGCAGCAGCAATCTGCTGCCCTGAGATATACAAGGTGGAAGCTCTTCTGTAAACTAGACATCAGGCCATGAGTGGGGAAGGACACACAACAGCTGGTGTTTGGGGAAAACGCTGGAGGAGTTTCAACCAGGTGGTCACAGCTGCCCACACGTCAGTCTTCTTTGCATTCACAACACAGAGTAAGAAACACACAAGACCTTATCCTATTTTCATTTAATTTATTTCTCCTAAGACCTTCTTCTTGCAATTTCCAGAGAGAAAATACAAAACAAGAAACAGACTTGGTTTCAAATACATAAACAGTGTGCTGGAGTATAAAGCGTTTACTGATAACATTGTTAGAGAAGAATTTCAGCTTACTCCAGGGCACTTCAATATTCCTGAGGAATAAACATGATTTCTCTTCCTCCCACTGGGATGTTCTCAATCATAAGTCACTGCTCCTGTAAGGCAAGAGCACTCAGATTATTGCTGCAGAGACAGGGTACGGACTCCCTGTTTAACCACCCGATTCATGCCAGACCCCCAGGACTTCAAGGTGGCCATGATCTTCTGCAAAGTCAGAGGCTGGGACCTTGCCTCCTCCACTGCTGGGAAGCTTCTTCAATAAAGCACTGCCTCCTTCCCACCTCTCTTCACAAAGGACAAGATCCCCCAAGTCTTTTAAAATTTAAAACAAAGCCCCACCAGCCATCTGTGAACTGACTAAACTGTTACAGACAGATGTGAGGCCACTAATTCATCTAAGCCTCTAATCAATATCACATTCTTTTTGAAGAGGAAAGGATGACAGCACCAGAGTAAAGACTCAAGTTCAGATAAAGTAACAAAGCCATTTTCTAATGGGACAGGCCTGGTTGTTGGGAGAAAAAAAAAACACAAACCATTTTCTACTCTAACCACCAACCATTAAGTAGACACCGTGCAGCTAATCACCCTTGGGCCACTACCCATGACAGAACATCTTGGACCAATGTCAAAGTCTGAAACAATTAAGCCTCAATGGCTGCCCCCCTTCTTTGTGCCCAAGCACATGGCTGGTCTGTGCCAGGAAAATAGCCAGGCAGGGAGTGGGAGGAGGGGGGGACAGCCTGTCCTCAGCCTCAATGCCACGCAAACAGCTGTGCTGCTTCTCAGCACCGGCCCACTGATTACCTCATCCTGAGCTGGACCACCCTTAGCTACAGGACAGAAATTATTCAGTAAGATGGAAGAGGAGGCTGCCAGACTTCTTAGCACGCCAACCCTCCCTGCTCCAAACCCTCTTCGGCTCTCACTAAGTCATCTTGCAGTGAGTCCAGCATGGTTTAAAATGAAGACTGCCAAATGGCTAGTAGAGTCTCATTATTTGGCCTTGGGATCTGGTAACCCTGTTATTAGGTGATCTTGAGTAAGTCACTTTCCATTTCTGAGCCTCAGTCTCTATATCTGTGAAATGGTTTCTGTGGGTGAAGCTAGGTGGCGCAGCTAGGTGGCGCAGTGGCTAGAGCACTGGCCCTGGATTCAGGAGGACCTGAATTCAAATCTGGCCTCAGACACATGACACTTACTAGCTGTGTGACCCTGGGCAAGTTACTTAACCCCATTGCCTAGCCAAAAAAGAAAGAAAGAAAGAAAAGAAAGAAAGAAAGAAATGGTTTCTGTGAAGATTAATGTAGTGGGTATAGTTTTTGATAGAAAGTTAATGCTGTTATGCCTTGTATCCAGCTCCACCTTTAACACCATTTAACAGAGGGCAGAGGTGCTTTGCCTTTAAATGCTTTCTTTCATCAAAGGCCATGTGGTTATGGGCTTTACTTTGTAGAAGCGACTGAGGCATGAACTCCCCACAATGGAGGGAGAGATGTACTTTTTATTAGCCCATCACCAAAACAACTTATCAAGGGACCTTCCCCCTAAGTGAAGGAGGGCAGGGAAGGTTGTTAACACTCCAAGTGGCACTGTACATTCTTCCCTCAAATCACAGGATTAAACATCATAAAGACAAATCAATCAAACCCCCCAAATGACCATATTTGTATATGCAATGTCATAGATTACAGGATTTAGAGCAGGAAGGGCCATTAGTGGTCTTTGGTTCCAACTTCATTTATTATTTTAATAGATAAGGAAACTAAGGCCAAAAGGCGTTAGAGTGATTCCCCAAAGGTACCTAGTAAGTGGAATAACCAGAACATAAATCTTTTCCAAATCCAGCTATGTTTTCATTGCACCAAACATCCTCCCAATGTATGACTGTGTCATTTCCCAAACTGTTTCAATCACTAATATCCATCTGGAGACTAGCTAGTCATAGATGGGCAGCAGCACAAGAATAGGACCCTCTAGGGTTTGAGTCCCAGCTCAACCACAGAAGCCATGTGAGGCCATTTCAACTGCTTATTACTTATGTCACCCGGGGCAAATCACTTAAGGCCTCAGTTTTCTTACCTGTTAAAAAAGGAGGTTAAATGACATGGCCTCTAAGATCCATTCTAGAATGGAATCTTGATCCTCTGAACTATGTATGTGATTTTGTAGAAGTCCATTTACCATTTTTAATCTCAATATCCTCCTTTATGAAATGAGAGGCTTGGAAGGATCTCTAAGGTTCCTTCCTATGATCCTATAAGATACCTTTCCAGATATTTTTTCATATTTTTTGTTCTATGGTCTCTTCCAAATCACAGCATTAAAGGTTCTAAGGTTTCCTTATAGATCTAGCAATATATCTATTCCCATGATTTTACAGATGATTTAAATGCCCTATTAGCAAGTCAATAACTCCTCAATGCCTCAATTTTCTCTCCTGCACCCAAAAACAAAAAAAAAACAAAACCAGGTAATTCCCAGTTGTAAAACTGGGTTATGAAGATGAGATACTGTGGGACACTGAACCCAGAACAAAACTGTTCTATGTGTTCTGCTTGTTTGATTCCAAAAGAGAAGCTTTCAAAGGCAGAAATGCGTATATCAGTAGCTTTATCTGAATGAATGCAAACAAATATCTGAGAGTAGAAAAGGCTGAATCTCAGGTTGATTTGGCTCTCAAGACCCAGAAAATTTAGCACTAAATGGAGAATTCAGAGCCAGAAAGATTCTTCCCTATCACCTTAATCAAAGCCTAATTTTAAAGAGGGGGAGCCTGAGCCCCAGAGAGGGTAAGGAGCAGAGCCAGCCTTTGAGCCCAGGCCCTTTCCCTCCAAATCCAAAGCTCTTTATAAAACAGCACGTGGCTTCAAGGGTTAGCTTACAGAAGAGAGGACTGAAGGGAAATAGCAGAGCTGTGTTCAAGTTTTGACTTGTGTTATAGGGATGACTGTATTCACAGTTAGTTAAATGTCAAAATGCATTTTAGACTCTGATGGAGCCAAAAGAGCTCAGAGAGCTTCTCCAAGTTCTTTGCCATGGATGGCGCTCTTTAGCCCTGGCAAGAAACATATTTCCTCTGGAAGAAAGAAGGCAGAATGAGTCAATACAAGGGAAAGGAAATATCAGTTCTGTACGTACTTTGACATATTTTCCATGCAGAAGATATGGGGCCTGGAAATCATGCTGACAGTTGGAGTAAGCCATTCCCAATCCCATGCCAGAACCAAAGGCTAATGGCCACATCCTTCCTAAGGGAAAGAAAAGCAAAAAAGAAAAAAATACCAATCCAAAAACGTTAAGAAAAAACATAGCTGAAGTTATTACTCGAGAATACCAAATACACTAGCCCTCAACAAACATTAAATCCTTTCCACATCAAGGAAGAGAATTTGCCAGCCTTCCTTAGCTCAGTCCTGGCCTTGCCACTTCCTGACTGTGTGACTGTCAACAAGTCACCTCCTCTTAGGGCCTCATTCTTCCTTCTCGATCAAATGAGGGTATTGTGCCTTCTAGCTCTGATACCCTTTGATTCTACTGGCAATGTGTGTGCTTCATGGCAAAGAAAGAGCAGGGAAGGTCAATTCACCAACTCATCTAGAATTCATGAGACATTACCAAGACCTGACAACTTCAACAAGCAATTTGTTAAGCAGCCCTACTGTACTAGATCCTGAAGTTACAAGATCATTTGCTCTCACAGAACTCAAACTGAGCACGGGAGCTCTCTTCCTTTTTCATATGTGACTATTAGCAAATGAGGAAACTTTTAATACAGTTATATCAAGTCTACTATTACAGGCTTATGGACAAGTCACTTTTTTTTCCCTCTCTGGACCTCAGTTTCTTCATTTGTAAAAGGAGGGAGTTGTGCTAGATCAAGGGTGGGGAACCTTTGGCCTCAAGGCCACATGTGGCCCTCTAGGTCCTCAAGGGGGGCCCTGTGACTGAATCCAAACTTTACAAAACAAATCTCCTTAATAAAAAGATTTGCACGGTAAAACTTGGACTCAGCCAAAAGGCCACACCCAAGCACCCAGAAGGCCACTTGTGGCCTCAAGGCCCCAGGTTCCCCACCCCTGAGTTAGATCATCTCCAAATTCCCACCCAGTTCTAATTCTATGACACTATGTTCTTAATAAACTATTATTCTTCATAAGTGAAAAAGATCCTGAAATACTAATGCACTAATTAGGACTCCGTATTTTTTGTCAGCTTCGAATATGCTCACAGTCATTTCTTTACAGTAAGACTGCACAACAAAGCATGGACATACTGCCACATGTGCCACAGTAGAACTCTGCCTAGAACAATCAAGGTGGCCAAGAATGATGGGTGTTTGTGTTCCTGCAACTTCTATCAAAAAGCCCCCCACTCTTGGAAAAGGCTGTGGGTGGGGTGTCACAAGCCCTGAGGCCTAGGGCAGGCACAAGTTGATTGCCCTCTATATTCCTCCTCCTGGAAGATGGTTAATTCAGAGGATTGTTATTTACTAGGAAAATGGGCATATTATCTATCAAAAAAGAAAACGTCTGCCCCCAAGAAAGCACGCAAAATAGGTCCACTAACATGATCATTAAATCCCTTTAAAAAAGAAAGGCAGCTTTGCTGCTGTCTGCCCCTTGCTCACACTAGTATCTACTTCTGTCAGGCCCTTATAGGTCTTTCCTATCCCCTGGGCCCCAGTTCAAATGCTGCCTCCTCTGGAAAGCCTTCTCTGATCCCTCAGCCAGAAACCATCTCACTCCTCAAGCATACGCTCCCCACCTCTGAGGACACTGACTTCATCTCTCTTACTGGGCTCTAAGCTTTTTGAGGATGGGGGGGCCTCACTGCTTCACTGTTTAGTCCAGAGGAGAGTTAGCTGTCTTCAAGTTAAGCTAAAACCCTGGCCTTATTAATCTTCATATCTCCCACAATGCATCACACACAGGAGCTTTATATATGGCAAGAGTTCAATAAAAGTTTGCGGAATGGTCATCAAAATGGAAAAGTATCAATTAATTAGAAATCTGTTTCCCTGCTGAGCCTTGTGATTTCACACAAGTGGTTAAGTCTTGATCAGTGCTCAGGACAATTTCTGAGCTGTCCAACCTATCTGGACTGGATCTGAGTCTGCCTTACACAGCAATGGAAGGGCTGGCATCCCCACATGTTTGCTTTTCCCCAGTGTTTGCTTTTGAGGCATTTACTCTAACACACAAGAAATTTCAATAATAGTCACACTTACTTTTGAAGAACGTAAGTGAGAAAACAATTCCCAATCCAAACCCTGTACCTGTAGAAAGAAAGAACAAAAAAGAGAGACGTTAAACCTATTCATCAGAAAATAAATTACCCCAAACCCATTCAATTACTGGTAATCCAATTAACATTTAATTTTTAGATTTTTGTCCACCAGCAAAACATAAAGCTATTTCCCCCTGAACACTAACAGCAGAGTTACTAGTAGAATTCCTAACTCTAATAATCTTCATTTTTGTCCTTTCTTCCCGATTAACCTAATTGTTTCTACTTCAGCAACTAGAGATAAAAACTCCAGTCCTCCACTTCACACAAAGACACTACAACAGACCTGGAAGGCAATATATTGGAGTGGAAAGAGATTTAGGGTCAGTTGACTTGATTCAAATTGCAGCTATGCTACTGACTATGTGACCTTGGGAAGGTCATATTACCCCTATGGGCTTTCATTTCCTCTTCTATAAAGTGAGACGGTTTGATCAGATCAGGAGTTCTTAACTTTATGTCATAGACCCCTTTTGGGAGTTTGTAAGCTACAGATCCCTTTAAAGAATTATGTTTTTAAATAATTGAACAAAACGTTAAACTTCAGTTAGGTTAAATGACACTAAAGATGTAATTTTACCCCACACACAAGTTCACGGTCTCCTTGAAATTGATACACTTACCCCGACCCATTCCCTAGGATTAGATGCTCACTAAGACTCCTTCTAATTCTAAATCTTATGATGCTATGACAATACCTGAATAGTCATGTAGTTTAAACCAGACCTGAAGGGATACCTTGAAAATAGTTGGTCTGAACTATATATATATATATATATATATGTAAAACTGATAGTTAAACTGAAGGTCTGAGAAAAAAAATTTACTTAGAACCATAGAAACTGAGTTTCAATACCAGTTCTGACTGTGTAACCTTAGACAAGTAACTTAGTTTCTCTAAGCTTCAGTACCATAACACATAGAACAAGGGCCTGAAAGACTCCTTCCAACCAATTTTCACATGGCAAAGTCTCTATCACCATCACCTATCACCATCCTGGCTGTTGTCCTTTGTACAGTGAGTCCATGTCCTTTTTCAACTGTGTTGTTAAGAATGGTACACAACAATCCAGTGTGTGTGTGTAACCAAGACAGTGGACAGTAGGGCCATCGACTCCCACAACCTAGACAATAAGCAGCCTGAGGTCATGGTGGCATTTCTGGCTGCCACGTGACCCTATCGAATCATACTGAGCTTGCAGTCCACTAAAATTCTATTGAAAGGATCTCTAAGGCTCAAAAACTGGTGGAGAGCTTTCTTCAGACTTCTGAAGTTGCTACAAAGCACCATTACATTACCTGGGTTCTCTCACCCATCCTGCATGAGAATCCTACCCACAGGGTAAGGCATTAATGAGACACAGTAACTGTGTCTTAGAACACATTTCAGGTGAAGGAGGTATGTTGAAAAATCTAGAAAAAGAACCATTTCCCTGAGGTATAATGGTACTACTGGCCTGGGAGTCAAAAATCTGGGGCAGTATCCTATTTGCAGCTTTCTAGTTAAGTAATCTGGAGTCCTAATCTAGAAAATGGGCATGACAAAATACTTGCTCTACTGATCTCATAACACTGCTTGAAGGAATAATGCAATTGAAAACAACAAAAGGCAGCTGTACTTTGATTAAATGTAATTATCAATCTCAATCCCAAGGGAAAGATGATGAAATAACTCTTCCTCTTAATAGAGAAAAGGCAGACTACGGGCATGGGACATTGCATATACATGCACTGTGAGAAGCATTCACGATTTGGATTGGTTTTATTTACCTATTTTTTCTGTTACAAGGGACGGTTTAACAGAGGAGCACACTGGTAAATGGCTTTAACTCTTTTTTAAAAAGATAATATGGAAATGCAAACTATTATTGTCATGTCTCTATTAAAGTAATAGGATTATAGATTTAGAAAAGGAAGGGACATCAAGTCCAACCTCCTAGTTTCACAATGGGGAAAGTGAGGCCCAGAGAGGTTAAGTGTCTTGCCCAGGGTCAGGTTAACACCTAATAAGTGTCCAAGACAGTATTCTAATTCAGGTCTTCTGGACTCCAAGTCTAGGACTCTCTTCCCTGTGCCACCTCGCCATCTCCAATGCCCCAGAATCACAGAATTCGGAGTTGGAAGAGACTTCTGTGGCAGGCTATGTAGCCCAATCCATGCCTGAACAAGAATCCTTTCTACACCACGCCCAAAAATGGTCTTGAGGTTTTTCCTTGAGGTCTCCAAGTGAGGGAGCCACTCCCCTCTTTTTGGACAGTAAAGTGCTTGGTGAATTCTTCGGGACCTCCAGTCTGAAGGTGCCTCTTTGCAACTTCTATCTATTATTCTTAGATCTGTACTCTTTGGCCAAACAGAACAAACCTAATGCTTCTGCCATGTGACTATCTTTCAAATATGTGGAGAAAATCATCATGTTCCCCCAAGAAGACATCTCTTCTCCAGACTAAACACCCCCAACTTTTTCAAGGGATCTCATATGATATGAACTCATCATTTTTGCCATCATCTGGAAAATTCAGCTTTTCAATGTCTTTCCTAAAAACATAGCAGCGCCCAAGACTGAACACAATATTCCAGATGTCTTACAAGAAGTCTAGTGCAGAAGGATAATCACCTTCCTAGTCATGGACACTGTCTCTTAACAAAGCCTAAGATTACATTCACTTTCATGCCTGCTCTATGACATTGCTGACTCATATTGAGCTTACATTCCACCAAATCCCTAGATCTTTCTTAGACAAGCTTCTGTCCAGGCATGCTTCCTCCACCTTGTACATATGTGTGAAATTGAGTCTTTGAATCCAAGTAAAAGACTTTTTATTTATCCCTGTTAAATTGAATATTATCAGATTCAGTCCAACGATACAGCCTGTCAATATCTTTATTAATCCTGACTCTTTCACTCAATGTATTATCTACCCCATCTCAGCTTTGCATAGTCTATAAATTTGAAAAGCATGCCACCTATATCTTTATTCAAGTCACTGATAAAAATGTTTAACAGCATACATCTCTATTTCATCAGGGTCCTCATAAACCTGAAACTAAAGATGATGGCACTTTGAACCAGGCCATCCAATTGGCTCCAAATTCACTGCTGTCTAGCTCACATCACATCTTTCCATCTTTTCCACAGGAATAGCATAAGCCTGTATCAAATGTCTTGCTAAGGACTAGGTAAATTATCTCTACAGAATTCACCTGACCTACCAGAACAAGGAAGGATCAGAAATGAATGAACACAATAACCCAGTGTTTGATCAATCTGAAAAAATAAACTACTTTGGAGAGAGAGAGAGAGAGAGAGAGAGAGAGAGAGAGAGAGAGAGAGAGAGAGAGAGAGAGAGAGAGAGAGAGAGAGAGAGAGAGAGAGAGAGAGAATAGTCTGGCAAAAGTTAGGCTCATACCAATATCTTATACCACATACCACAATATATTCAGAATAGATACTTGACCTGACTATTAAAGATCATACCATAAAAATATCAGAAGAGAAATAGATCATATACTATTAAAGGCAGTGGATGAATAGTTAAGCAAATATGAGATAGAGGCAATTACAAAAGATAAAAGAGAGAATTTTGATTACAATCACATTTGGCACAAGCAAAATTAATAACACATCTATGATAAGAAGGGAAGCCATCATGGGAGAAGAGATCTTTGTATAAAATGTATCTGATGAGGAGTTGATATCCAACATAAGTAGACATCTAGCAAAAATATGTAAGAGTCACGTATGTAAATATGCAAAAGTCATTCCCCAACAGATGTGACCAAAGGATATGAACAGACTGTTCTCAAAAGGAAAATTGCAAACTATTAACAACCATATGAAATAATGCTCTAAATCACTAAAAATAAGAGAAATGCAAATAAAAATAACCCTCAGGTTTTACTTCCTACTCAACAAACTGGTAAAGATGATAAATGATGGGAACAGTCAATGTCGGAGGGGCTACAAAAAGATAGATGAGGATACCAATGCATGTAGGCAGAGCTGTGAAATGGTAAAGCATTTTGGAAAGCATTTTGGAATGGTGCAAATAAAGTGACTAATATGTCCATATTCTTTGACCCAGAGATTTCACTACTAGACATATATTCCAAGGAAGTTATTAATAATAATAAAAAAAGGCTCAATATGCACCAAATTGTTGACAGTAGCACTTTTCAGTAATAGCAAAGAACTGGAAACAAAGTGGATATCCATTGATTAGGGATGGCTAAATAAATTTTGGTAGACAAATATAATGGACTGTAATTACTACGTTATAAGAAAAGAGCATAATGAATATGGAGAAGCATGGAAAGGCTTACAATTAAATTATGCAAAGTGAAATAAGCAGAACCAGGAGAACATTACACACAACTGAACGTTACAAAACTAACAAACTTAGCCTCAAAGAAGAGATATGAGAAGACTCTTGCTCCCAACCCCACTCCTTTACAAAGGTGAGGTCCAAAGACAAGACCCCAACAATATTACATATTGCATATATTGTATATAATTTTTTCCATATCTTGACTGATTTTACTCAATTTTTTTTCTTCAAAACAAAAAAACTGTGTTAAAAGGACAGCTCCCTAAGAGAGGGAGGAGGAATAGCATGGGGAAATCTAAGTGATGTAGAAAAAAGATATTAAAAAATCTATTTAAATTGTTTTCATTGCTGTCTTTTGTTGCTATATCACATTCATTTACAAATACATCCTTCTCCCCACTCAGTGAACCATCCCTTGTAAGAAAGATTTTAAAAGAAAGAAAAAAAATCAGTTCAGCAAGTCAACATTTTAAAAGGGAACCAAAAAAAAGTATTTTTGTTAATTAAAAAAGCTTAAAATTTTTTTGGGGGGTCACACCTAGGCAATGGAGTTAAGTGACTTGCCCAGGGTCACATAGGTAGTAAGTGTTATGTAAAATCTTTAAATTTGAAAGAAGAAATCACAGACCACTAGCATCCTCATTTTACTATTAATTATCCTCTG